TTTCACCCTCCTTAGTATATAATCTATTATAAAGATCATTAAAAGCAAAATTTTTAGCTTCACATATTGTTCTTTTAGACTCCTTGCGGAAAAAAAGAAAGGACGAAATCCTAAAAAAATTAGAGCTTGTCAACATTTGATACTAGATGATACCATTGTAAGGTTCCCATAAGTTGTGGAGGATAAAGGGTTAGCGGGGAAGTGGTTTAGGAATAGCGAAATAATGAAATATGCGTGTTCGACGGCGTTTGAATAGATAAATTTTGCTCGGCAGTTGCACTGACTGGAAGCAACAAAGTAGAATCAGAAAGATGAGGTATAGATGTCGAGGAGGTTCACCACCTGCTCCTACATAAGCTACAAATAACTTCTTGCAAAAATAAAAAGTATACAACACTATTAGGGTAATCAGAGATATAATCTTTAAAACACACAAACTAAATCAAACGTTGTTGGGATGGATTATACTACGAGGGCTTCAATCAATTAACAGTAGAAAACACATCCCAGAAAAAAAAGATGACTCCGATTTGAGAAATCTGGAACAAAAATTCGAGCCGAAATGAAAAAAAAGTAAGCCTAGTGAAGCGCACTAACATTTACGTGAAAAATTTATAGAATAGGAAAAATCTACAGAGCCACACTTCACTAAATTTTCACTATGAATGAGAGAAGTTTAGAAATTATAAACTCAGATATTCTCTCTACCATCACTGGAACTCACAGTATTTCACTACAAATTCTCTTATAATCACATATGAGAAATCGAATACTCTAAAATCCTCCACCAGAGCTTCACTATTGTAGAAAACCCTTCGAGACCACTGCGTGCACATACAAGTTATCGTTGCTCTTAACCGAGAACTTAAGAACTAATTAGTGGAAATTGTTTTGGCGGTGTGGGTACACCTAGAAGAGGTGTAATTATTTCGATGACTCGACCATCCGCTCTTGTAACGAGCGAAACTCCGGTGTAGCTACGTTTGGTTGCGACACAGTTGAGCCATTCGGTGTAGCTTCGCTAGTCTGCTTTGTTACGTTGTGGCAACAATCTCCACACTAAATAATCTCACTTGGAGATTGATCGCACCCAACATCCGTCCAGATTTGTATTTATATCTGTACCATCTTTATAATTATGGATCGTAGTGTGATTCACCCTGGTCCCAATCTTTTTGGACTTCAATTGAAGCTAAGCATATTTTTTAATTTCTTGATAGTCACCACACCTTAGTTAACATGTTTGCAAGATTCTGAGTTGTGTATCTTCTCCAAAACAACTGCCAATATTTTATAAGAATAAAAGATAGTGAATAAAGCGAAATCACAGTTGAATATGCTTTGTCTTGACATGAAAAATAATATTCTTAGTAAAACTAATATCATTCATGCTATCACAATGAAGCTTTACAATCCTCTGCTCCTTTCCCGATTTTGCCATAAAGCTTTGTACCCAAATCATTTCTTTGCTAGCCTCAGTGATATCAATGTATTCGACATCTGTAGCTGAAAGTGCAACAATTTTCTACAACATAGAAACTGAACTCACCATGGTATTCCTCAAAGTGAATATCTTGTTTTTCTACCAGTTAAATGTCCTGTCAGATCTGAATCTACAAAGATTTGTAGACTGATTCTTGCACTTCCATTGCAAATGTCTTGCTGACTGTTTCTCTCAAGTACTTGATAATTCACTTCACTGCTTCTCATTGATGCCTACCTGGATTGCTCATATATTCGCTGACCACTCTCACTGCATATGCATTTTCTGTTCTCATACAAATCATAGCATACATCAGACTTCTAACTGCTGAACTATACAAAATTCTCCCCTTCTGTGCTTGCTTTGATTCAAATTTAGGCGATAGTTTCTTAGATAACTTTAATTGTGGTGTTTTTTCCTCACCCATGTTTAATTTCTGTGTTCTTCTCAACATACATTGCCCAATACAACTTCAGTGTACCTGCCCTCCTGTTCTTGCTGATTATCCTACGGATCATCTTAGTTGGACTTAAATTCTTCATCTCGAACCCCCTTGATAATTGCAAGCCATAGATACTTTTCTTTAATGTACCCCAATCTTCTTTTCTTGGAACCTCATAGCCTACCAGTTGCACCATGCATAATTTTTCTCTTCCAGATCTCCATTTAAAAAGGTTGTTTTTATATCAATCTACTGCAGATGTCAATCTTCCTCTACTATTAAGTTTAGTACAACTCTGACAGTTGTCAACTTCACCATAAGAGAAAATTTCAGATTAGTCCACTCTTTTCTTTTGTTGAAACTCATTCACAAATGACTTTTGCCTTGTAACTCCTGTTACCATTTGACTTCTTTTTCAATCTATAGATCCATTTGTTGTGTAGTGTTTTTTTGCCAATTGATAATACTGTCAAATTCTATGTTCGATTTGACTACAAGGACTTTTATCATCAATGACAAATTCTTACTCCTTTGATTCTTCAACTTGAGTGACATCCTGCGGGTCATCAATGACAATCACTTTGGTTCACCACTATCTGTTAGCATCAAGTAGTACAAAGAAACAGAATACCTGTGTACTAGTCATTTCACTCTGCGGGTCCTCCTGACTTCAGTAGCAACTGATCGAGGAACTTTCTGTACTTCATCTTATTAAACATTTTTTCCTTTCTCCGCCCTCATGATTATCAGTGTTGTGTATCTCAACATATTTGGACTCTTTAGAATTAACCGATGGGCAATCATGATTTATGCTCCTGTCCTTGTACATCTCAATTTCATTGAAAGCACATCCATGCTCCTGATGAACTATTGATTCTAACTGTCCCGTAATTTGTGCACGGACTCATCTAAGTCATACCCAATGGAGGTGCACTTAATAATTTTCGAGTCAAATTACTTTTGTACTTTACATCAACATGTAAATATGCAAAATAAGCAAACACTTTCAGTGAAATGACTAGTACATTAACATGCTTTAGTCATTTCACATTGCAGGTCCTTCTGACTTTAGTAGACCGAGGAACTTTTTGTACTTCATCTTATGAACATTTTTTTCTTTCTCCACCCTCATGATTATCAGTCTTGTATCTCAACATATTTGGACTCTTTAGAATTAACTAATGGGCAATCATGAGTTTTGCTTTTGTTCTTGTACATCTCCAAATCATTGAAAGTACATCCATGCTCTTGAATTATTGATTCCAGCTGTCCCATAATTTGTACACAGACTCTTCTAAGTCATTCCCAATGGAGGTGCACTTAATAATTTTCGAGTCAAAATTACATTTGTACTCTACATCAACATGTACATATGCAAAATAACCAAATACTTTCAGATGAGATAAATTTACCTCTTTATCACTCCAGTTTTCTCCATGTAAGCCTTCTTTTAAATGTACCGACATATTACAATTAATTAAGCAAACAATAATGTTCATTACTTCATGCCTAGAATTGCATTGGCAAGCTTGCATGCAATATCATACTCTTGACATTCGTGATGATTCTGTTCATATACTCAACTACTCCATTCTGCTGTCGAGTTGTTGGAACAGTGAACTTGTGTCTGATCTCCTCCGAATAATTTTTTTTTGAACCACTTATCATGATATTCGGCCTTGTTATCAGATTCGAGACACCTTAGCTTCAAATTCGTCACTTTTTTTTATGGCCTTTAACTTCTTAAACACTTCAAATATGTCAAATTATTGCTTTAAAAAGTAAATCCATATCTTTCTGATTTGAAAACTTGATATGCACATCGCCCTTTCTCACGATTTTGCAAATTTTGTTGTCTTCCAAATAAAACTTTTTTAACTCTGACTATAATTTTTGAATACCTTTTTTTATTGGGGCATACACAAAAAGAGACACCCGAATCTACTATCCAAGATTGAGTATTGACTAGGAATAAATCTTAAGGAATCATTTTAAATTTCACATTTTGGAGACATTTTTATAGAGTACTGACCGACCTTCTTTGGAGTCTTGCAGTCCTTGAAACATCATTTTTTTTCGCAGTTCTAACATTCTCTTGTTTCATTTCTTCTGTTTAATCTGGATTTTTCTTTTCTTGACTTGAATCTGTCTATATCTGTATTTCTGTTCAGATTCTTTCTTCTGTTTTAACATTCAATGAAGAACCTGAAGATTCACCACTCGCTAGATGTTTGCGAACTTCTTCATTTAACACTAACCTCACGATGTCATCGAAGTTCAACTTCATATTCACTAAAGAGTTACTACAATGACCAATCTATCTCAGCAGTCTGACAATGAAGATATAATCAAGAGTTCTTTGTCCTTGTTATCAAATTTGATCCCATCAAAATACAATTTGCTATTTGCGGTGTGGAAATTGTTTAAGTTTAGTCATTGAACTTTTTTTTGACATCTTCATGTTGAATAATCTCATTATAAGAAAAGGTTTATTTGAAGGAGAAAAATTTTTCTACACTTTTAGCAGTGTCAGTGATCCCGATATTCTTTTTTATATGTAGAAT